CCCCACCTCCCAACAACCCCGTCCCCTCTCCGATTCAATTAAATTTATTGTAAGTGTATTTCACTTGAGGAGTGCTGCCGTCTTTATGTTAATAAAATTTTTTTAAATGTCTGTGGAATATTTTTGCCCCACCCTGCCCCCTCAACCCCCTTTCCCACCCCCACCCAAGTCCCCTCGCCTTCGCTGTTGGTGAAAATGCACAGGATGTGCCAGAGGAGGAAGAAGTTACCAATTGGATCTGAAGAGACAGAGAGAGACGTTACTGTAACGCTGCATCTAATCTGTTTTGAATGTTTTGCCTGTTCATTAAGTTGTATAGATTTTTTTAAAATGAAAAGTTCCCTCCCATTTTGTTTCTGTGGTAGGTTATTTCCTCAACTGTGTAATAGAATGTCAAACAATGCACTCCATACACGAACCGCTGGAGGTTACCTGCTCCCGCTCTTCACTTCTCGCGGAAGTATTGGTTGCCTTGGCACTGTAGCACCTCATAAGACTCGAGCTGTTGCATCCTTCAAGCTGCCTGGCTGAAAATCCAAACAATCATTCTGCTAGCTCCCTTTGTGGAGTGCATGTTTATGCACTGTAACTGCAGAACAGGGCTGTCTCTGTGGAAATGACTGCTTATATATCCGCACATGCTGGTCATGACCCCACCTGGTTCCATGGCACCAAGTTATTCTGATGTTGGTGTACTCATTTAATTGTTTAAAAGAAAAATAGCTCATGGTTCATTTTTAACTTGAGATTTCATCCACTGTGTGATGTTTAATTTTTACTGACCACGCTTTATTTCAAAATAATAAAAACAAACTCAGTTACATTAAGAATCCCTTAAAATGTAACCTGCTCTTGCCTTTTATTCTTCTTGGTAACAGCAAGAACTTGCCCTAAATAAACAGCACTTTCTGTCCCACCTTCCCCCCTGCCCAGATTTAAAAGCAAGATCCCGTCCAACGTTTGAGTCTGATGCCTGTGAATCCAATCTCTGGTGGAACTGCTTGGGGGAAGTTACAGTTAACCTTGAGGTTTTCTTTTTAGCTGGGCAACAGGAGAGGAATCAGCCTTGTTGCACTGTGGAAGTGGGCTTTGGGAGTGTCAGTATGGCGTTGGTAAGGATTGAGTTTGCCTGTTGAGGTTGAATATCCCGGTGTCTCTTGCAGAATGGCATGAGGAACGATACCTGCAGCTCTGTACTTTGAGGTGTGTCACTTATCAAACTTTTTGGGGAAAAGAATGTTGCTTCATGGTTCCTGTAATTTTTACCTTGGGCATTTTCAACAGTGCCTGGGTACAGAAGCTGTTATATGAGCAGATTACAAGGTGTGTTAAAGAAGATGGGATATCCTTGTAGCAACAATTATATCCTGGTAAATATGAACACAGTGGTAATGTTTGCATGTGTGGCTCGCCTTGTGTGAGAAGTTTCTTCAACTTTCTACAGCTGGCGTTACCTTAGGAAATCCCTGGGCGCAAATGGGATGGGAGCTGAGTTTACTGTGTGCAGTTTTTGACCCATTGGATTGATATAGACCCATGCTTACTGTCTTCTCACTTGGAATGAAGCAATTTTGCAGTTTGGGTTTGTTTAAAAAAAACATTTTCAATTCAGCTCATCACCAGCACTTGCAATCTTATGACTATGAATAAAAAAAACTTACCCACTGTGCAATATTTTGAGTGATGCATCTGACCATCCCAAGCATATTGGTGCTCAGATATTGCCAGACTTGCGTGTGGGTGATCTTATTCTGTTTGCCAGTAAGGATCTCGTTTTGACCAACAAAGGGTGCCTATTTCACCCTGAAGAGTGGAAGTCTTTGAATGTTGTCAGTACTAAACCTAGCATTGATGCAGCAGGAGCAAAGGATCCATTCTATTAGTGTCTCCTGATGTGAAGGAACCTGATCCTTCAGCTCAGTTTTCTTATAACCATAATAAATGGAAACCTTTGATGATTTGTCTCAGTCAATTTTCCTGTTGTGTGTGATGAATGTGGTGGCACTGAAAGGAGATAGTGACTAAAAAAGCAGGAGTTTGTATGAAAGGCCACTGACCTGAAATGTTAACTGTTTTCTCCACAGATGCTGAGAACTGTCTTTAAATTTTAGAGTTAGATGAGCTGAAGCCAGTTAACCTGAGTATCGACTGGGGGTGAAGCGGTTTATGGTAGTGCCCCTATCTCTGTTCCTAAAGGCCTGGGTTCACATCCCATTTGCTGTAGTAGTATGTTATAACATCTCAGGACCAGTGGATTTAGACTGAAGGTGCTGCAACTCAAATATTGAAATGGTCAAGACCAATTGGGGAGGTAACGGTGTGGTGATAATGTCATTGGGCTAGTAATTCAGAGCCTATGATAATGTTCTGGCGTGTGTGTTCAAATCTCACCATGGCAAGTAGTGAAATTTGAATTCTGAAGGTATGAATATGATTGTTTAACCACTTTTGTAAAATCCTATCACGAGTATCCTTGGGGGAAGGCTATCCTTACTTGGGACTCCAGACCTAGTGATTGACTCTTGGGCAATTAGGGATGGGCAATAAATGCAGTGACACCCATATCCCTTGAACAGACAAAAACAAAGCAATTGATATAATATTCAGGATAGTCTGAGGTATCTAACCTGAAGTTCAAAAAATAAAATTGCCTGGAAATGAGGTGGAGGCAGGTTCAATTGAAGCATTTGAGAGGGCATTGGATTACTATTTGGGTAGAAGCAGTGTACTGGATATGGGGGAAAGGCAGGAAATTGGCACTAGGGGATAGAGCTAGTGCAGATATGATGACCCAAGCACCATCTTCTTGCACTCTTAACAATTCTGTGAATTGAAGATCTACTATTGGTGCGCTGCTGGAATCTCAGTTACAGCTTTGGGGTTGTGTTGTTTCCCTGTTTGTCACGTAGCTATTGCCCTTTAGTCACATAATCTTCATCCCAACTCTCAAATTTATTGGGCCTCAGAGCAGTCAACCTCCAATGCATTGCTCCGTCATGTGGTCCCTGCCCCCAGTGAAACAGCAGTGCTCTGCACATGTGTACTATCCCATTGGATCTTGCTGGAGGTGCTGGTTTGGACTGGGGTGGACAAAGTCAGAATTCACACCAAGCCAGGCTATAGTCCAAAAGGTTTATTTGAAATCACAGGCTTTCGGAGCGCTGCTCCATCATCAGGTGCAGAGAGCGAGATTACAGAGACAGAGAGATCAAAAGATCATAACTCTGGCGTGAGTGGAGTGTCATATAAGTCTCTGCAGATGACCAAGAACGTTAGATAGTGAGTAAAGTCAACAGCTGAACAACCAGCAAAGGGATGAATTATAATTCAATTATGTGAGGCAGAGAGATAATTACAAAAAATTAAAAATGAGCTGGTGCTGGAGACAAACTAAATGACTGGAATAACTTGACAGGTATAAGAGTCACATGCTGAGGGTCTAACCAATGTAATAAGTAATCCAAACTGTACAAACTCATTAAGATAGAGAGATCATAACAGTTTATCAAGGTGATGCTGTCAAAACAGGACAGAAAGGAAGATTTTATAGATACAGAAGTGTGGTGGGGTCACATGCAGCACGACATGAACCTCAGATTATAGTTGAGGCCGTTTTCATGGATCCTGGACTTGGCTATCAGTTTTTGCTCAGCGATTCTGCATTGTTGTGAATCTCGAAGTCTGAATGCCCTTGACTGCTGAAGTGTTCCTCTACTGGGAGGGAACATTCCTGTCTGGCGATTGTTGCACAGTGTCCATTCATCCTTTGTCATAGCATCTGCATGGTCTCGACAATATACGATGCCTCGGGGTATCCTTGCCTGAAGCGTATGAGATAGACAACATTGGCCGAGTCACATGAGTATCTGCCGAGTACATGGTGGGTGGTGTTCCCATGTGTAATGATAGTGTCCATGTCAATGATCTGACATGTCTTGCAGTGGTTGCCATGATATAGTTGTGTGGTGTTGTGGTCGATGTTGTCCTGAAGGCTGAGCAGTTTGCTGTGAACAATGGTCTGTTTACGGTTTGGCAGTTGTTTGAAGATGAGAAGAGGAGGCGTGGGGAAGATCTTGGTGAGAAGCTCATCGTCATTGATGACATGTTGAAGGCTGCAAAGAACATGGTGTAGTTTCTCCGCTCCGGGGAAGCACTGGACGACGAAGGGTACTCTATCGGTTGTTTCCTGTGTCTGTCTTCTGAGGAGGTTGTTGCAGTTTTTTTGCTGTGGCACGTCGGAACAGGCAATTGATGAGTTCAGCATCATATCCTGTTCGTATGAGGGTGTCCTTCAAAACCTTTAGGAGTCTGTCGCGTTCCTCCTCATCTGAGCAAATCCTGTGCATGCGCAGGGTTTGTCCGTAGGGGATGGACAAAGGCATTCAGCCTCCGATCTTCAGGTGAGTGCCCTCCAAGGCGATCTTTGGGATATACAAAAACACAGAATCGCTGAGTAGAGACTGATAGCCAAGTTCCGTACCCATGATGACGGCCTCAGCCATGATCTTGGGTTCATGTCATGGTACAGGCTGAATGGCCTGCTCCCACACTGTAGGGATTCTATCACGTTATTCCAGTCATTTAGTTTGTCCGCAGCACCAACTTATTTTTAATTTTTTGTAATTATTTCTTGCCTCACGTAATCGGATTATAGGTCACCCCTTTGCTGGTTATTCAGCTGTTGACACTTTACTAGCCGTCTAACACTCTTGGCCAGCTGCAGAGACTTATTAGGTCACACAAATTGTATGATCCTCTGATCTCTCTGCCTATGAACTCTGTATCTGTGTTCACTGCTCACTCTCTGACTGCACCTGACAGAGGAGCAGCGCTCCGATAGCCTGTGATTTCAAATAAACCGATTGGACCAGAACCTGGCGTCGTGTGACTTCTGATTGGATCTTGCTGGCAGATATTTGCATCTTCAGTGCGCCTGCGCGGTGCGTTTGTCCCCAGGATCGGCAGTGCGCCTGCGCGTGCGGTCGCCGCTACGTAAGTGGCGATGGCGTCATCCATCAGTTTTCTATTGGCCGGCGACGTGGGTGACGTAAGCAGACAACAACAGGAACCGGAGGCCGCGACAACGCGCACCGTCACCTCCCAAGGCCCAAGGCCCAAGGCTCCAGGTCCGTCCGAGCCGGGGGTGGGCGCGGGGAGTCCGTCTGTCTGTCAACTCGGGGTCCGGGCCCGGGCCCATCCCGTCACCCACCCACTTCACCCGCTCCTGACTGACCCCTCCCCCA